AAATAAAAACTAGTCTTAGCTGATGATGACTCCTAACCTGCCAAACAATGTTAGTCCAAGTAGATTTGAAATGGTAGGTGTAATTCTAAAATAGCACAGAAACTACAGACAAAAGGAAAGAAACATGACATCTTTGTATAAAGAATATCTACATTATATATATATATATATATATATATAAAGTTACTTTCTCTGCAGTTATATCCTACAGCTTTTGCACGATTCAGTTTGTTTTAAATTTCTCACAAAGCTACTCAAGGGCTATCTGTGCTAGCCATCTGTAATTTAGCAGTGAAAGACTAGAGGGAAGGCAGCTAGTCAACACCACCCACTGCCAACTCTTGGGCTACTCTTTCACCAATGAATGCTGGGATTGACCATCACATTATAATGCCCCTACAGCTGAAAGGGAAAGCACATTTGATGACAGGAATGCAGGATTAGTTATATAATTCTATTCCATAACATTTTTTTTTTTTAACTGACATTTACACATTATTTTGCTAGAATAACAGATAAAAAAAAATGGACGAAACCATAAATATTTTCTGTCATAATGTAAGACAGAAAAACAGTAGGTTAAACAGAAACTTGTTGATTTAAGATATATAAAGTGGATGATTCACAATAATCCTGTCTTTCAGCAAAAAGTAAGTCTGTATTATAATCAGCTTTTCTTGTTATGTTTCAGAGACTTATAAGCTGCTGAAATCTGTTGTTAAAAGCTGTAATGGTTGAAAGGACAAGCTACTTTCTGCTTCTTAAATCTCATACAAAGCTAAAAAACAGTATGCTTCCAAAATTGGATTAGTTTTATAATGATGTTTGAAGTTGAGTCAAATGAGCACTTCAAAAAATAGGTATTTTTTCACACAAGTTAACTTCACAAATAATATATAGTGAACAGTGACCTTTGAACTCATCAACAAAATTTTTAATACAAAATATTTTATAGAACTTAATAAAATATAACATAATAAAAATGTCCCTTCTTTATATAACCTTAAATATATTTTAATTTTTTTTAAACCTTAGAGGTAGGATACTAATTTTATTTTAATTTGTAACTAAACCTTAAGTCAGTTTATACATTCATGCTCAAAATTTCTCTGAACAACTTAGCTAAGTTTCAAGGGTTAAAAACATCCACACGCAACTGGAATCAATCTGATTACCGAACGTGGTTATTATTTTACATTTTGGATGATAGAAACTAGTGAGGTATTGGAAACCAACTAGCATAATATTGAACACAGTTCAAAGAAATGAGAGGTCTTTACCTTATTGATCCCCTGGACTATATTGCAAATTTCATTGACAAAATACAAGATTTTAACTTATCCTCATAATATAACCCTTCCATTTCTGGAATCATCTTAGCATCCCTCCTCTGAACCCTCGTCTGCACAAGCTAAACACTGAAAGCTGTTATTTATTACAACATACTTGTTATATTCTATCGGTACTGTTTTTAACTTCCTGAAAGATTACTAACCACTGTATCCTTTTCCTGCAAAGTTCCTCTTTAAATCCTACTGCCATTTCCCACAGTATACCCTTCCCTTTGGCTTTATCCTACTTAGGATAACTTCCAATCTCTCCTCTAAGCTATGAATTATACATACAAATTGTCCCAAATAAAGTCCACAATGATTATTGGTAAGTATTAAAATATTTGTATTACACTAATTAATTACACTAGTATTTAAATTTTTAACGCATTCGTGATATATCGACGGAAATCTGGAAAGTCAACTTCACCTCTAGGCCTATGGAAAAAAAAAAAAAAGATATACAGAGACAGTGGCTCCCTCTCTCTTTCCCTGTATCTATGACTTATCTTTGTACAGATAACTATATTTTCTGCGCATGGAAAAAAAAAAAAGACATATAGAGACAGTGGCTCCCTCTCTCTTTCCCTGTATCTATGACTTATCTTTGTACAGATAACGCTTTAATCAAACGCTTAAACTTCGAAATTTAAAAACAAAAATAATTAAAAAACTGACTCACCGGCAAATTCTATGGGGACTAAATAGGTCGACTTTAAATTAATTAACTTGTGTTTTAAAGAAAAAAAATATAACTTTTTTTCAAGTTTTAGCTATCCATTAAATGTTTTGACTTTTGTACTAATTTGTTGCGAAGTGTACTGGTATTGACTTTCTTCCAGCGCTGTCTCGCGTATTATCGTTTTGGTTTTCACAAGCTATTTTTTTAATGATAAATCTTGAGATATCACTTTCAATTATCAATATCTTTTGTTATCACTTATCTTTGTTATATTTGTTTTATATCCCAAATATACAATACGTTTTCGCTTTAACCTGTGCCTACTTCAGCTTGTATCGAGATCTTCTCAGACTTCAGAGGACCAGACATTCGTAATACAAACCGTACTATATAGGGGGAAAATTATTCTGAATTTATAGTTTTCACTAATTTATACGCTCCGATGACATATGAATATGCTTGATTAACAAATATGACTTTGCCAAGTTTTATTTTGCTTTTTTAAACACAAAACCATTGCACTCTTCAAAAGAAAAACAAGTAAAAAAGTGAAAAAATTGTATTATTATCGCCTCAAAATATACTCCCTGCACTGTGTCCACCACGAGGAATTAAACACCAGATCTTAGCGTTGCAACCCCGTAAACTTGTCGTTGACCCTTAGGGGGAATAATGCCCTTTAAGTTTAGCTGATATTCCGGTTTATTCTTCGAACTTTATTAAACTTTAAAGGAATGGAAAATAGATTTAGGGATATTTATAATATATCTAATAACAAAGGTACTTGGGCCTTTTGCGAGATCAATAAGACTAAATAAAATAATTTATATCAGGAAAAGGAATAAATCAAGTAAAAAGTTAATTTACATTTCACATGTACATGCATTAAAAAAAAAAACTTATTTTCTCTGCAAAAAATATATACTTGAATACCTAACAGATGGCAGCACTGAAAGGAGTGTGACTCGATATTTTAGTAAAATGCACGAAAAAACTTTATTAAACAGGAGGTGGGAAATTTACCATGAAACAATTTATATATTTTAATATCTGACGGTTTGATATTACATGCTTTTAATTGATGGATAAAATCAATCAATTTTTAAGGAACTTTGTACAGATAATCTAAACTCATTCAATTAAGTTAAAAGTTCTTTCTTAGTGATTCGCGACGTTATTAATATTCTTTTTTTTTATTTGTATCAATGAAAAACTCAGTATGTATTAAACATAATAACAGTATGTTTAGTTAGCCATTCTCAGTATCAGGTTAATTTTTAGCTGGGGCTTTGATCAGAAGCTAACATTAAATACTCAACCATCTATAATATTCAAATATTTTTATATGGCTGTCTAATGGTTTTGATATTAAAGTTATATATATATATATATATATATACACACATACATACATACTCGCTCAATACTAGGTATACTCCAAACAAGGTAGCGGTCTTGATGCTGTTGTTTACGTCATCAGTGTTATGGTGTGAACCAGATTAAACAAATTAATTGTGATTATTATATATTTTATGTAAGTTATTGTACAAATAAAATTATTGGGGTAATACCTAATAATATTTATTAGATAGTTTGCTTGTTCATTGAAAAGACAATGTGTAGAATGAGCTAAATGACCAGGTCAAAGACCTCTGTCTTTGAGGCATAGTCGTTCTTAATTTTGAACTGCAGACCAAAGGAAAACAACCATTCGGCAACGCACGCCCTATAACGCACCAATGGCTGGAGGTGTGAAGCGTGTTTAGTAGCCCAAATGTTGAACACGAATCACTCAGATCCCCAGTCCGATACGCTAAACGCTATGCCACGCGCGAAGCCCTACTGTGGTTAGAGAATGCTAGAATTTTATATTATAAAAAAATATGCCAACCTTTAAACTGATAACTTCAAGATAAAACAAATCGACCGCCCACAATAAGACTTGCGTCTTTTTTGTTTAGTTTAAAATAAAAGCCATAATAATAATCGGTTTTATCTGGCGTTATATATTTATTGTACGATAAAAGTTCAGGTCTGTATTAATAAACGCTGAACTTGGTCTTGTGATTGGCGTACTCGGGCTTTAAATCCGAGGATTCGCGGTTCGCGACCCATTACCGTAAAACCTACACCCTTCACTTTAGAACTGTGGGTGCACTATAACGGTGAAATACGATTAGTTGATGAAACTTGAATAGCCGGAGATAGTTAGTGGCGAATGCTTTCTGCCTTTGCTCAAGCCTGTCAGATCAAAATTATAAGTCAGGTATGTTCTGATAGCTGTTGTGTAGTTTTATACAAAATACACAACTATAATTTTTCAGATGCCAACAATATTCTGTTTCTAACAGCACAGTATGTTAGAGTTACTGCTGACTTAGTTCCATAGAATAAAACTTGTCACACAAATATAGAAAACTGGGAACACATTTCGTGCTCGTCTATTAGTCTAACTTTCGTATCCCAACCGCCCTGATGATCCCTGATATTATACGGAACTGGATATAGCAGACATAGTGTGATTGACATATTATTCTTTAGTTACACTCATAAGTTATTATAATTAACTAATTTTGTACAATTACACAATTTGTTTACAAACTGATGTTAGTATGTTTGTTTGTTGCTAAGTGTAAAGCTACACAATAGGCTATCTATGCTTTGCCCACTGTGGGTGTCGACCCTCAGACTTACCGCTGAGCCACTAGAGGGCAGATGTTGATAACATCAAATTACCATTACACTA